ACTGTTTAATCTTATTTAAAATTTATGTTGAGGGGATGAAAAATATTTTCAAAACTTGAATTTTATTTGTTCTCAAATGTGCTACAAGTGAATTTGATTTGAAAAGAAAAATGATCATGTATATGAAGTTATATTAGGGAAGTAAAATTTGATTATAGAAATGAGTAAGAAAATTTTGTTAAAATTTTGAGTGATGAAGAAAAACTTTCAGTTAAAAATTTTTAGTGTAGAAAATGTTAAATAAAGTTGTAACTATATTTAGTAAGAAAAATTGTTTTTTTGAAAAATTTTCAAAATTTAGACTTTTATTTTTAATAATTAAATTTCTTTTATTAAAAATAATTTTTAAAACTATGATTATATTTATAAGTAAAAGATTTATATCAGGACTTTGCCTTAGGAAAGGAAAAGTGAAATTCAAAACCATTAAAGGCCTATCCAGATATAGTAATCCTTGCGTGAAAAAAGAAAGAAAAGAAAAAGAAAAAAAAAGAAAAAGAAAAAGAAAGAAAAAAAGTAAGGGAGGAGAGAAGCTTGAGGATTAATGCCTAATAAAAAATTAGTTCCACATTTGAACTTTTTAAAGTATAAGACTGGAGAAACTCTTAAGCTTAAGGATATAATATGGTAAATCAAATTATTTTTAACTAAAAATTTTTAAGTGGAGATAATAGAAGGACTAAATTCTATATTTAAAAAATCTACAATATTTTTGAATTAGATAAAAACTCATATTTTCATATTTCTTAACATTAAAAATTTCTAAACTTTAAGTTGATCTCAATTACTAAATATTTTTTTTCTAAATTCGACTACTATAATTCTAAATCTAAATTTTAGTAACTCCTAAAGAAACTCATTAACATAATCATACTTATTTAGTTTTTAAATATTGAAGTGTCACTTGAGGACAAGTAACATTTTAAGTTTGGTGGATTTTGATATACCTAAAATATATAGTGTTTTTAAATACATTTTCATACCTATTTTTGAGATATTACGTTTTAATGGAAGGAATTTGTGTGTTTTTCTTTCAGGTACAAGTAAAAAAGGTAAAAAATGCCAAAAGGAGTGAAAAAGGATCCAATTTAGAACAAAGAGGTGAAAATTGTGCCAAAGTACCTAAGTGCCAGAGACCCCGCTCTTAAGTGTCAGAGGCAGTTATGTGACGATTTACTTCATTTTGCAAAATTTTGAAGGGACATTTGAGACACCTATTGGCTAAAGATGGCGGTTATTACCACTAGAAAAGAAAATATTAACAAAAATATGGTTATAAGACTTATGAAAGAAGGCATCCTTTGGAGAATACATCAAATTGAGACACATTTTGAAGAGTTATCAAGGCACCTCTTGGAGATATATAAAAGAAGGAAATAGAGACTTGTTGAAATGTGCTTGAAAGTCCAGGAAAGGGGGAGTTCTAATGGAAAGGGGGAGTTCTGAGAAGAGTCAGAAATAGTTTTGGAGAGGTTTTTAGGCACCATAAATTTACTTTATCTTTTTTATTTTTTAGTTTTATTTAGAAAGTAAGAGTGTTGTAAAAGAGAAGAGATTCAAAGGAACTTTAAGAGTTTTGTGGAGGATTTGGGATAACTTTTTATCTTTTGTTTTAAACTACTTTTGGTTTTAATTGAGACTTCTTGTTGGTTTGACAATGATTTCAACTTTAAATCTAAAGTGTGGCTTTATTTTCTCCATGGATTCTGAGTAGTTTTCTTTATCTTTCTCCTTAAACTGATAAGTAATTAAAGTGTTGGATGGAAGTTCTGGAGAGTATTGATCTTTAATGTTGGAAGAAGTTGTGATGATTTAAATCCATGTATTTCATTTACTTCTTGATTTGACTTATCCAATTGTTAAAATTTGTTGTGAGAACATGTAAGAACCGGGCTGGTATTGTCTCAAAAAGAATCACATGAGGTTGACATGAGGTTGTGTGAATGATAATGTAATTCATATGATTTAGTGCAAATAAATAGAGAAATAATCTTTGTAGTGTGTAGAGTTAGAGGACTTTAAAGTGACAGGTTAAAGCCCCCAACTTGGTTTATTATTTTAG